CACACACACACACACACACACACACACACACACACACACACACACACACACACACGGCGACCCCGCGCCTTCAAAGGGCAGGGGGAAAGGAAAAAAGGAAGCCAGCCCCCCGCCCCGCCTCGCAAGTGGCCATGTTCAGGATGTGCATTGGGGGAGAGGGGGAGAAGAGGAGGGGGGAGCGAGAAGGAAAAAGAGGGGGAGAAGCGCGGAAAAGGGGCAGAGGAAGCAGACGGCTGGCGCACCGCGCCATCGAGGAGTGAAATACAAGTACAGGTGTGTGTGCCCCTCTGTCGCTCCGGCCCCCTCCCCCTCGCCCCGGTCGCCCTTCGAGCGGGGCGAGGGGGGAGGGGGGACCCCATGCGGCAGGGCCGCGGGGCGCCCCCCGTCCCCCCCGTCGTCGCGTGATGCCGCCCGGCGGAGGGGGGAGATGTGTATATGTGTCGGTGGGCAGGCCCCTTAGTGGTTGCGCCGGGCCCGACCGCGGCGGTGCACCGGCGGGCCGTCGCGCGCCGCGGCCTCGCGGTTGGCCTGCACCTGCGCCGGGGTGTTGGGCAGGAAGTAAATGAGCGGGTCCTGCTTGGTGGTCGACCGGAAGAGGGTGTCCAGCGAGATGACCGCCGGCGGGGCGGCCGCCTTGTCGTGGGCCGCGCGCTTGGCGGCGCGCCCGCCGGAGGGCTCCGGCGACGCGGCGCGCTTCTTGCCGCCGGCGTCGGCGTCAGCCGCCGCCGCCGGCACCGGCGCCTGCGGCGAAAGGGTGGCATTGCTCTGTCGCATGTGTTCGGGACCGGTCAGCCAGGCGGGACACCGGGGGGGAGGGAAAAGGGAAAGAAAAAAAAAAGGAAAGAGGCAAACACCCCCCTGGCCCCAGAGGGGAGGCGTTCGGCGGGCAGCGGAAAACCAAGGCCCCGGCAATGTGCCCGGCCCAAGCGCACCTCGACCAGATGCGCCACCACATCATCGCTGACCCACTCAATGAGCAGGGACTTGGGGTTGGCCTTCGGCCAGCGGCCCAGGGCCGTCAGGCGGTCCATCACATGCTGCGCGATCTCCACCGTGGTGAGCTGCAACGCGCGATGCCGGCGAGAAAGGGGGGGGGGGGGGAGGGGGCCGCGCGCGGGGGCGTTTGCGCGACGGCATGGACGTATGCACAAAGCGTGTCAGTACTCATGGCCGGGCGAGGGCAGGGGCGGGAGGGGGGGACACCAAGGGAACAGGCGGCGGAGCAGCACGCACGGTGACCATGCAGTGCGACCGGATGGAGTCCAGCCAGAAGTGCGCGACCGACGGCGTGGCCGGGGCGTCGCCGCCCTGCGGGCGCGCGAGCTCCTCGATCAGGTCGCGCAGCTGCTGGATGGTGAACGGCCGGACGAGGTTCCGGACGGACAGCGACCGCGACGCGGCAGCCGGCTCGCCCTGCATCGGGGCGTCAGCCGGCTGGGCGGGCTCGGCGGCGTCAACCACATCGACATCCGCCGCATCAGCAGCCCCGGCGGCCTCGGCGGCCTCAACAGCCTCGGCCACCTCGGCCACCTCGGCGATCTCAGCGGCTTCGGCGGCCTCGGCCACCTCGGCGGTCTCGGCGACCGCGACGGGCTCGGCGACCGCGACGGGCTCGGCGACCGCGACGGGCTCGGCAGCCGCGACGGGCTCGGCAGCCGCGGCCGGCTCGGCAACCACGGCCGGCTCGGCAACCACGGCCGGCTCGGTGGCCGCGGCCGGCTCAGTGACCTCAACGTCAATGGCGTCGGTCTCGTCCTCGGCGGCAGCGACAGGCGCATCGGGAGCCGGCGCGCTGGCGGCCTTCTGCTTGTCGTCGGCCTCCAGGCGCTCAACAAGCTCCTTCTTGATGCCCTTCGAGGGCAGACCACGGGCATCAAGCTCGGCCCGTAGGTCGGCCACCTTCAGGGAGTTCCACTTGTCGGCGGACATGACTGGCGGGGTCTGGGCGAAAGGGGGACGTGGGGGGAGGTGGGAATGAAGGGGGGGGGGGAGGGGAGGGGAAGCGGGGAAGTCTACGTGTGACGGGGACCGCCGCGGGAAAATGCACGGGAAAGGGCGGGAGGGGGAGGAGAGGGGGGAGCCAGATGGCGCCCATGGCAACCATCGCCGGCAGGGTCGTGCCCTTTGACGCGCGCACCGGGCGAGCCGGACAGGACCCCCCCGCGGCGCCCTTCGGGAGATGGGGGCCCGTGAGAGCCGGCGCCTCCGCTTCCCCGGCTGCACGATGCTCCAGGAAACCAGGGGCAGGGGGTAGGCTGTGCCCCCCGGCGGGAGGCCGCGCCAGGCCGAGCTATTTTCAATCGAGGCCCGCCCGAGGGCCGGACGCGCCCGGGCGCCGCGCCCCACACACAACACGCCCCCGGAGGCCCCCGCCCCTCCTGCCTCGTCCACTCTCGCTGCACCCCCCCCCCCCCCCCCCCCCCCCCCCCCCCCCCCCCCCCCCCGGCTTGCGGGCGCGCGCGCGTTCTTGGCGCGAAACAGTCAAGCCGGCGATCCGTCGGCACGTGCTCTCGTGACATGCGCCCATCACGCCCGGTGCCGGGAAATGCCATTCAGGCATCTCGCTCGCTCATCTCAAGCTGCCGACCCTCCGGACAGCCAGCGGTAGAGGGAGGCCCGCGCTTGCGCGCACGTCTTGATACACGCCGGTGCCCCACCG